GTGTGTCCTCAGATAGCTGACACAGACACCAAATCCCAGGGGTCCCCTGTTAGGTTCTAAATCATTGTCCAAAATGTAGGACTCCTCAAGTCTCCCCATTGCTGATGGCAAGAAAAACCAACAGCCAACAAAATACATTCTGTGTCACTAGGCCCTCCCAGGAAATTAAAACTCTGCAGACAAAACAGAAACCTCTCTCTTGGGATCTATATGAAGGGGGAGAGGGGGAACCTGTAGTTAAAGGTTAAGGGACATTTTTACAACCATGATATAATTTTGGTATCAATTTCTCAACTGCAGGCAGAGGGGGATACTACTGTTCTGTCTTGTATCTCACCCACATTAAGTGACATCTTAGCTACAGAAAGGGTGGCCAAGATGCTGATAATTCCATGGCAGTTGAAAGAAAAAAATGCCAGGCACCTCTGTATTTCCTACCTTTAAAGTCATTTCTTCGAGCAATTTTTAAAAATTTATATCTGAAAGAAAATGTCGTCTTCTGGACAGAAATAAAAAGAAATGGAGATTCATTCATTAACCACCTACGATCAGGAAATTTCAGAAGGAAGAGTCACGCAGTCATTCCAGAATATAAGTAAAAACAAGGCACCTAACTGCAGATGCTTCAGGCACAGACTCTGTCCCATACACTGTCTCTGCTTCCCGCCTAGCTGGATAAAGTGATAGGACTGAACGCTGCACTTGTATTTTATAGTTTTGGCATGAGCTCTATTTTCACTCCTAGAATAAACTCGCTGAGTGCAAGGACTTTGTCTGCCTTGGATTACTGTAGACCTCAGGAGTATCAGGCACGTAATGTGACAAGTCTTTTTTTAATGAATGAGTTAAGAGTTTAACAAAGAAATACATTCTCCTTGTCTTGAAGGGAACCAACCACTAGATACTAAGCAACGTGGACAACACACTCGAAGACCTTTCTCCTCCCCAAGTGAAACAGTTCTAGATGAGGGACCCACTGAGCACTGAGACATGGTGCTGAGAGAAGGAAACTTTCATCTTTCTAAATCGAGATTTAGAAAAATGGTAATGTGGCACCTAGCTATTTTTGTTATCTGGTCAAGGGACACTTCTCTAATTTCCTAAACTGATTCATTCATTTCTAGGAAGAAAATGACAAACTATCCTATGATTTGAGACCTGAATTGGGGGGTAAGAAGTTCTCTTACTCAATTCATTTCCTGGACCATCCAGTAGGAATGAAGCCTAAGGATGTCACTTTCAGAGTTTCTTTTTAAAACAAAGAGAGGGCAGAAGAAAGAGCTGGGTTAGTGCTCAGACATAAAGGGCACTGTCCCCAACTAAGGTAGAGTAGCATGACCTTAAAAGTCTTCATATATCATTTTGCTTGGAAGAAATATGCATTGTCACTTGAGAAAATTCTGTCCTGAATGTGAGCAGTCCATTATTATCAAGGAGTTAGGTTAGTAATAATACCAACTTTTATTAGAAGCAGTAAGAACAAAGAGATCTTGATTACGTATTATGTGCAGACACTTTGAGTCAAGTTAAGTACCTTATTTTTATTTATATTTATCGCTATAGGGAGCATGTGCTCATTGGAGAGAGACCAAGAGAGGAAAAGTGAGACATCACCCTTCAAGGACATGGTCACATTGCAATCCCTTTTCCTGCATTCTCTTCTCAGGAATTTGCACCTGGCATGTTTTCTGAGCCACCGGGTCCAGGAGTCAAACCACAGAGTTGACCATGTGGGATCCAGTCACCTTACCTTAACCACCACACCATCTGGCTAGCCACCTTACATCTAGTAGCTCACGTAGTCGCCACAGAAACCATAAGAAGCAAATATCATCATCATCTCCATTCGTCGGACATGGAAATAAAGGCAGGGAGAAGCTCCCTTCTCTCTAACTTCTCACTGACTTTCCTGACGTGATTCTACTAAGAGTTGGCAGCAAGGGTTCAAACTTAAGCACCTGATTCCTTCATTCATACTGCTCCATCACCTCACCACAACTGCAATGCATTGCAAACGCTGGGTGGGAGAATGCCATAATACAAAGGAGTGAGATTGGTGGTTGAGAAGGTACTGAGCGCTGGGTGTGCTACCTGCATTATCTCATTTAGTCTTCACTGCAAATAAACTATTACAATATTCTTTTTTTTTCTTTTTTTGGAGAAGTTTTTGCTATAGAGCGCATGTGCTCACCAGAGAGACAGAGAGAGACAGAGAGATAGAAAGTGAGAAATCACCTCCCAGGGAGGATGGCCACACCGCAATCCCTTCTCCATTCTCCTCTCGGGATCTTGGGCACGCACGCACACACACCTGGTGTGAGTTTAAGCCACTGGGTCCAGGACTGGAATTGTGGTCGACTACATGGGAGTCCAGGGACATAGCCATTATGCCATCTGCTGGTCCCTACAATATTCTTTTTATTCCACAGATGGGAAAACAGAATTAGAGCCCTGGTAACTTGCCCAGAGTCACTTTCGACCTGATAAGTGACATAGCCAGTTACCAAACCCTAGAGGTCAGACTCCAGTGAGTCTACACCATTATTCACTGCAGCACACTGCCTCTCTGTTGGGAACACTTTGTAATATGCTTAGCAATGTATGGGATGCTTGAAGATGCAGAGAGAAACCTGCACTACTGCGTGACCTCTTTTCCACAGACCATGCATGAAAGAAAAGTAGTCTGGTGTAGCAGATTGAGCACAAACATTGAAATCAGAAGGGACTGAGTTCAGACCCCTGCTCAGCACTTACTGGCTGTGTGATCTCAGGTAAATCCCTCCGAATACTGTTTACTTGTGTTTACACCCCAGGATAAATATCATCTCACCTCTGTGGTGATGCTCTGAAGGTTACACGTGACAGTATATGGAAAATCTGGCCTCATAAGACCCCCAAATCATCCATCTCCCTGAATCCACTTTAGACACTCATTTTCTTGACCATAAAGGAGATTCCATAAATGTACAGGAAGTTCACTCAAGTGGCCTGTCTGCCCTCTTGGGCTGAGTCATACCCTTTTCTTGGCAAACAGTGAAGACAAAATTGTACCAATGTGAGCTCTCTAGATCGGGACCACATTCCCTCCACTGCAGCATTTGCCCTGGGAGCCAGCGGGAGCTACAGCCATACCACACTCTGTTAATGAGGTTGCCGGGCACCACGGTACCAGAGAGACCAGCAGGGCATGAAATCATTACTGACATTGCCAAGTTGGACCAACAGGAACCTGGGGTTTCAGCTGGGAATGCCACAAAACAAATGAACGTCCTGGAAATGTTTAGATCAGTTGGGGAAGATTGGTTTTGGTTTTGGGTTTCTATTTGCTTGTTTGTTTTCTCCTTTCAAAAATAAAAAAAGAAAAAAAAATCTACCGTACACATTGAAAGACGGCTAGCAGATAGATTGTTTTGATATACGAAATAACAGCACTAAAATTCTGTTGGTGTGAAAAAACTCTAGGTAATAACTCTGTTACTCAAGCCATTTCTTCCATTTATATATAATCCATCTCTTTCGATTCCCTAATGGTTATATCTGACACAGTTCTAATTATTTTAAATGACCCTTTAGTTAAGCCTGAATGTTTAAAACAATTTTTAAGTGCTCCCAAAGACGAATCTTTATGCAGATGTTTTCTTTACTTTATAACCCAATCTTGTTTACGGTGGCCCTGCACAAGGAGCTGGCAATCTACAGCCCACAGGCTAAACAGCCCACTGGCTGTTCTTGTAAATAAAGTTTCATCAGAAGGCAGGTTCGTCTATTTGTTTACATGTTGTCTATGGTTGCTTTTGTGTTTCGCAATGGAGCTGACTAGTTGTGACAGAGACCATCTGAGTTTACAAAGTCTAACATTTTTACCATCTGGACTTTAAAAAAAAAAAAAAGTGTGCCAACCCCTTCTCTAATGCAAATTCTGGGGACCAGATTTGCACTAGGTACTTCATAGTGCTTCTCCTTATAGTAATTGAGTCATTCTCTGTGTTTGTTAATGGCCATTGGTCCAGCTGTATATAAATTCTTTGAGAGACAAGGACTGTTTTCTCCCCGGGGCCTGAGTACAAAGACTAGTACACTGTAGAAAAAGTAATAAATACTACTGGTATTTTCTGCATACAATAGCTAAGTTGCTAGATAGATTTTGAGCACTTGAGAACCTCAAATATGTCTTGGCCTTGAAGGAGAATTTGACTCTTAGTTCTCAGTAATGCGTATTTGTTGAACAATCAATTGCACAATTGCCCTCCCGATTTGGGCAGTGGATAATGATTTGCAGGACATCTGGTGACCAAGACAAATCCTTGTCTACGTTTTGATGAATTTCTTCTATGCCACATCATTTGTGCCCATCCTCTCTCAACTTCACAAAATCCTCTCTGCCTCAAGCCCTAATAGCTGATGCTTGGCTCTGACGGCGCTAATCTCATAATCGATTTGCAAAGCTGGTCTTCCATCCTGCGGAATCCATCTGTGCTTCACAGCAAGGCTCCCAGCAGCCTGCAGGGACTCCACTGGTGTGCACAAACCCATCAGTCATCCCTAAGGCACAGGGGCACTCAACCCACACTCAACATAAGTGCTAGCTTATGTACAGGAGAAATCAGGAACAGAACCATCTGATTCTAGAAAGACACAGAGAGAAGAACTGAGTGAAAGTCCTCTGGCTTGCCACTACCAAAATGAGTTTGTCATTTGGAAATGGAAGATGGTTTAACATAATGAAGAGAGAAATCTGACTCTCAAAGACGCAATAAGATTTGGAAAATGATTTAGGAGCTCAGTCAAACAGACCTGGATAGGAATCCAAGTTCCAGTACTTACTAGCTGTGTAAATTTAAGCCAATTAATTCATTTTTTTAAGATAAAAATAACTTCACAGCAAAATGGGTACATTGTCAAATATTTGAAGTACCTAACAGTAACAAGCACTATATAAATTTTACTGCTCCATATTTTTCATGCCACAAAGAAAATGATGGTTGGCAATCTCCACTTACCAAGCATTCCTTTCTTGGAACTGGACAGACACATGTCCTTTTCTGCACTTGGAAGGGCGAAGCTCACTACAAACACCTCCACCCCATCAGCCATGAGGGCCAAACCCAAAACAAAAAAGAGGATCCACTGGAAGCGTCCGTGGCCACACTCGTCAATGATGGTCTCATACTGGTGGGCCAACTGCTCCTCATCTTCCATCCTCTCAGCCATCAGGTCTGCCTGGCCATCTGCCCTCGAGGGTGCCATCTTGGTCTGCTTGGCCTTGATGTCATCTGGGTGAGGGATACCCTGGTACTCGCCCTCATAGATCTCGTCATCCTCATCATGGCCTTCTGTAACATCACTCTGTGCATCTTCTTCTGGGTTGGACTCATTACCACGGTAATAGCCATCATTGGGGGCATAGCCCTCATAATTGTCCTGATACTTGTAGTCATCCATTTCTTGGTTTCTGGACAAACTGGTCCTCTCTCAAGTTAAATCTCTTGCTCTGTAGTAGAGGTTTGGGCTATTTCAATAACCAGCACCCATTATTAAATGGGGAACATGTTCATGTGACTTCTGGGTGAAAATCACACCTGTTTTCTCCTTCTTCGTCTTTCAAATCAACCAGATTTGTACACAGGTCATCTAAATATGTTTTTGCATTAGATGTCTTTTGGAAGTCTTTGGAAAGTTTCAAACTCTGGTCTGGTCTCCTTCAATGACCCAGGGATGTTATGTTGGGAAGTGCTGATTAAAAATGGGTCCAGCTGCTTTCCTTGACAAGGAGTGAGCAGGACTTGGCAGCTTGCTTGCTGGCCTGATTTGTTCTGCTACTGAAGGTTATGTCCTGCCAATAGAAAGAGGGGACAGAGAAGAATGTTACAAAAAGCTGAAATTCTCACAAGACAAAATACTCTCAGAATGAAACCAATACATTTTGTCATGTCAATGCCTTATGTATAAGGTGGAGAGAATCTTAATTAGATATCTGAAGTATATCAACTGAATGAGGATTGAATTGGTGAGACCAAGGGATAAGGAAGACAGAACGCTGATCATAGAGCCCTTTGAAACTCTGATCAGTCCATGAAAGGGGTCAAATCTTACAGGTGAATGAAAAATAAAGAGGTCAAGAGATTTTTAATACAAGACAATTTTGTATTGCAGATTTTCTATTAGAATTTATCAAGCCATGAGCAATAATGGAGACTTATTAACAGTTCAGTTTCTGATAAGAAAATGCCAGCTTTCTAACTTCGTTATGAAGTTGCTATACAATCTGAAATCTAGAAATAGACAGCAAAGACATATTGAAGATAATTTTTTCCTGAGGTCCAGATTGCTTCACCTTGGGCCTGCCAGAAACCCTCTCCCAGCTCAGCCCACCTGTCAACAATACATCTGCCATCAACCCTCACAGGCCTCCCCATCACATCTGAACTCTACTGTGCTTTCAGCCTGTGGGGCAGATGTCACCTCACCATGGACTGGACACACTTGTCCTCACTGTGGCTGCTGGATTCCTTCCCTCCGCCCACAACCCATCCCTGGGCTCTCTGCCCACACTTACCGCCTGCCTTTCCTGGCCTTCGGCCCTGGACAGACCCTAGCCCTGGTACTCATCTGCCTCAAACAACACAATACATCTCTTTCTGGGAGGAGGCCAGAGACCAGCGAGTCTCAAATACAGTGAGCCAGAACCACTCAAATGGCACAGAGGTTCATTAGAAATACAAATCCCAGGACCATTCCCCAGAAAGGCTTAACATACAGAACAGGGACAGGGCCTGAACATATGTCTTTTTTTTTTTTTTTAAGAGGTTTTTGCCTTAGGACACGTTTACTTCCAGAGAGAGAGACAGACAGACACAGTGAGAAGGAAAGTGAGAAATCACCCCCCGGGGGATGGCCATGCTGCAATCCTTTCTCCTCCATTCTCCACCCAGGATCTCGGGCAAGCACGCACGCCTGCCCAGCATGATTTTCAAGCCACCAGGTCTGGGACTCAAACAGCAGTCTGCCATGTGGGAGTCCAGTGACAAAACCGCTATGCCATCTGCTGGTCCTGGACATATGCATTCTTCACAAACACCACAGGGAATCCAGGGACTGCACTTTGAGAAAGAGTGCCACCAGAGCAGCAAGAAATATTTATTAAGAACTGATTTTTTACTTGACCCTTTCAGATTTTTCACCATCCCCAGTAAGTTAATTTTTATTAGACCACACTGGCCTGAACCTGGTCAGATTAATATTCTAAATCTTTTTTTATTACGTCCATTTAGCGACCACTAAAGGACTATAAATTACATGTAAACAGCATGAGGGTGTACAGAGTGCTATGAAAACAGACCAAAACTGCCAACTGCCCAAGCTCTGACACAATACTTCCATCCTGGGGGCCCTGCAGAGATGTCATGAATCAGAAAGGACAGATTTGCAATTCTGAAAGCACATTTGGGAAATACCACTTAGGGGAAAGGTTCTGGAACGTGGTTTGTGAAAAGAACAGATCATAGCCAAAACTAACTCCACTCACCTGATCCAGTGAAATGAACCACCATAAATGTCAAGTGCAATGAGGTAAAGGGGAATTCTTCTGAGATGCCTTAATTTTTCTTTTTAAATTTCTACTTCATTGAGAAATGCCAAGGTATTTTTTTAGCAAGACATTCTCTAGAGAATACAACTATTAATTTTTTTGCAGTGTTATGGGTTAGAGTATTCTCCTTTAGGGGTCCACCCCACAACACATTGGTTAAGCCTGTGCATAGGGAACTGCATCTCACATGGCTGACCATGGTTCAAATCTGGGCCCAGTAGCTAGAAAAACATGCCAGGCACATGTTCATGCACACCCAAAACTGACAGGATGGCATGATCCCATCTCCTTGGGAGGTGCTCTCTCTCTCTGGTGACACATGTGCCTTCTAGCAATTAAAAAAAATGTGGCCTTCCAAGATGATGCATGGAAGCTATAACGTTTAGTACCTTACAATCTAACCTTATTTAGAAGTAGTCTTCACATAGGTAAAATTAGGATAAGGGCATTAGAGTGGGCCTTAGTCCAACATGACTATGTCCTTACAAAAAAAAAAAAAAAGGAATTCTGCACACAAAGGGAAAGTGGCCTGAAGACCCAGAAGGAGTGCCATCTGCAAGCCAGGGAATGCCTGAGGTTACCAGCAGCAGGTGGCAGGCATGGTACAGATTCTCCTTCTCTGCCTTCAGAGGGAGCCACCCTGCTAATACCATGAGTCTGGACTTCCAGCCTCCAGAACTGAGACATTTGCTGAGGTTCACCCAATCTACAGTACCTGTTGCTGTAGCCCCAGGAAATGAACACAATTAATAAGCCTAGCTTTCATGAACTAAATAGCAATGCTACAAACAACCACTAGAGCAAATAGTAACTGAGCGCTAGGATGAGCATTCTATCGATACCAGCAATACCTCATTGATTCTCATAGGCAATAATAAAACGAGATTACTCGTTTCATTCCGCAGATGAAAAAACCTAAGGGGTAAGAGGATTAAAGAATGTGCCCAAATTAATATTGAGAATCAACATCAAGGCTTGGATTTGGAGCCGTGAACTAGCCAACTAGAACACAAGGGATGATGTGCACATAGTGAGAGAAATTGAGACTCCCAAGAAGATAAGTCAAGGTCACGTACTGAGTTGCCAGTGGAGTCAAGACTGAGGTCAGGCTTCTGACACTCGGATTACAGTTTGCTCAACCACCCAGACAAGCATTTCCTGGGATCTTTGATGGTGCTGTCAGTGCAGTAAATAAGACATGACTTGACCCCATTCACAAGAGGTCTACTCCTTGAAAAGTCAGATTAAAAACTATAATCTGGGATCAGCTGTTGGCATAATGGCTATGTTACTGGACTCCCATGCAGTCGACCGTGGTTCAAGTCCCCGAACCCCTGGCTTGAACTCACACTGGGCACGTGCGTGTGCGTGCCCAAGATCCTAAGAAGAGAACAGAGAAGAAGAGATTGTAGCATGGCTATGCCCCCAGGGGTGATTTCTCGCTTTCTGTCTCTCTGTCTCTGTCTTTCTGGTGAGCACACATGCATGCCCTAAAGCAAAAACCTCCCCAAAAAAAAAAAAAAAAAAAAAAAACAGAAAAAAAACCTATAATCTTAATGAAAAAATTGTAATCTTAATTATTACTGTTATCTTTCACTTACTGAATGCTTGCTTAGTGACTCTGTGGCAGGTATTACCCTAAGTAGGACCTACCTCTTTCAGCTTATGGGAAAGGACTATGATTATATCTATTTTACAGGAAACAAGACTGAGACTGAAGAAGTTAGGCAGATAAACCAGAGTCAAGACAGGAGATTCTTCAAGGAGTTTCAGAGGAAGGGGGGTCTCTGCGGCCTGAGGCCTACCTCTGAGAGGCTTACATCCAAGAATAGGAAAGGGCTAAAGAAGGAAACAAGGGAAAAGAAGAAATTGTCGGCTGGCCAGCAAGGAAATGCATGGGCATGGAGGTAGGAATGGCTTTGCCTGCTTGGTAGCAGAGAAGAGGCTGTTGGCTGAGAGCAGATGATCCGAAAGAGGGGAATTGTAGGAGAAAGATGGGGAAGTAGAAAGCAGTCAGTCTGAATGCCCTGAAGAACTTGGAATTTTCCTTTGAGCAAGGGAGCCAGTGAAGGTTGCTAGACTGAGTGAAGCAGCATAGCGTGCAGAACAGAGATCTCGAAAAATTGCTCTGGTCAGGGTGTGCATCCTGGTTTATAAGGAAAAAAAAAATTCAGGGACAATTAAACCAGGTAGAAGACTGTGTACATGGGTGTGGCATGTGTGTGTGTGTTGGTAACAGTTCAGAGGTGAGGTGAGGCCTGGACAAAGGTGGTGGCCATGAGACTGGGAGGAAGGACAGGCACAAGGGGACTCCTACAGGAGAACAAGTGTGCAGTTCCTATCAGGTGAGAAGGAAGGGCAAGAATGACAAGAACACAGCACCTCTACAGAGTCAGATTCTGGGCAGGAAATTTTTCTAGCACCATGTAATTGCTGTAACTGAGAACAACAAAAAAATCTCTTTTCAGACTGATCTGCTCTTTTTGGCATAGTGGTGGAGGTGGGATACATAACAGACACCCTGGTATTAGAGGGTCCCAGGTTCAAATCCTGACTCTACCACTTCCTACTACCTATTTGCAATCTGTGAAGCACACTGTGCCTCCATTCCTGGTCTGTAAAATGACTGTAACAATAGTACCTACACGCCCAGGCCGTAGGGGGCCTTACCTGCGCTAACACGACAAGGTCGTTGTGGGAATTCACTGAGCTAATTCATCAACAGGACTTGGCATGGCACTTGGCACAGTGTGACCACTTTAAATTTGTTATTATTACTGCTGTTATTATCATTCTTCTCTGACTGAATACTGGCAATTCAAATGAATCTAGAGTCTCAGCTTGAGCCCAGCCTTCCTCCCTAGGAGATCTGGGGCCCATCTGGGCTGAACTAGGGAATCAAGTACAGAGAAAAATGAACTGACATTTAGTTATTCACAAAAACTACTGCCTTTCAAAAATGTCCCATTCTAATCCCTTAAGCACCCTTTTTCAACTTGTGCATTCTGTTAACCTCTACATCTATAATACTTGATCCAAAAGCACTGTGCTGTAAACACTTGTTCAAAATCAAATATCACAGAGAACAAAGTTAAAAATAAATAATATAATCGAATGATGTAATGCTCCTCAAAATCTGTTCTGTAGAATGTTAGGTCTTTAATATGCTCACTCAAGAGGGAAAAATAGAATTCTAAGAACAAACAAGTTTGGAAAGCATTGCCTATTCTTTTCACCATTCTCTC